AGCAAAATCGAAACAAATTTGAAACGAAACATTTTGGCATAAACATTCATACCCCCGGCCCCTTGGCCGGGTAAAAGATACAAAAAGAAGCCGGTCATTAAGACCGGCAAAGTATTCAAAACCCCGGCCCCCTGGCCGGGTAAACAGAAACAAACGACACGCAGGCCGTGAAAAGAAGACATAAAGCTTAAGAAGGGGGCAGATCTTCAATAGTAGCAGCTGCCGCCTGGTCAACACTCTTTTTGCTGGATTTGGCTTCAGCTGCATCCTTCTTCGATGCATCCCCCCCAAGCGGCACAAGCGCCACTACCGGCTCCTCCTCCTCCAACGCCTCGTCCTCAGCAGCCGCCAGGATCTCTTGATTATATCTATCAGAACACTGGCGGTACGTTTTTTCGCAGGAGGAAAAGTCGGCATTGGGGAAGAGGCGGCCCCAGGTCAGGCGCTGGATCTGAGCAGAGTCTTCCATCATCTCTCGGACCAGCTCCTTCTTTTCTTGCTCGGCCTTTGCCGAGAGCTCCTGAGTAAGACTCTTCTCCTGGGTCACCAGGCGCTCCTTAACGTGTGCCAAGGATTTCTCCAAGGTGTCGTAGGAGGACATTTTTTGGCGAAGAGGTCTCAGCTCGGCCTTGAGATTGTTGATGGTCGCCTCCAGCTCATTATTTTTCTTCTGAGCCGCCTCTAACTGAGCCCGGATAGCAGAAGTAGCCTGCGCCTGATAATAAAGAATATCAATTGTCAAAACCTCATTTTGGGCAATTTGAAACATTACCTTATCACAGTCAGAGGCGGCCATAGCTTTTGCAGCCTTTACCTCTTTGTTCTTCCTGTCAAGCGGCTTGCGAAGGCCGTTCACTCGGAGCAGGGCCTAAGTAAAAGGGAACAGGCGTCAGTTCTCAAATAAAAAACAGGCGTCCTGGAATTTAAATAACCAAAAATATGCTAAGTATACCTCAGCAAGGACCCCTGCAATCCCGTCTAGGTCAAGGGTGCCGACACCCCTGACCGCCTCCCTCTCAGCCGGAGGGACGACTTTGATCATAGACTTGGCCACCTCGACCAAGTCTGGCTCCTGAGGGCCGGCTGCATCAAGCATAAACAAACAAGTTAGACCTAGTAAAGAAGGGAGCAAGTCTAAATTCACAAGAACAGCTTCATACTTCTAGGCGGCCCGATTGGAGTTTTAGAAGAAGTGAACGGCTGTTTCTCAGCCGCCGCATGTTTCCTGGCAGCACCAGGAGAGCCCGCAACAGTCGTCCTCCGGGTCTTGGGGTCCGGCTGTTGGGAAGAAGAGGCTCTTGGAGTGCCCGCCTAAAAAAAAAAAAAAAACACTCGGTCAGTATATGCATAAACCCAACTCCAAAAAGAGAGTGAAAGGTTCAGAGCTCACCAAGGGCGCCCCCTTGTTGGGGGAGTCGGTTGAGGATTGTTGCATGAAGGAGGCTCGCAACATGGCCGCCGCAGTCTTGGAGGCGGTAATTTTGCTCATGGCGTCCGCTGCAAGAACAAATAGCAAAGTTAATAAAAAGTCATAACTGTAATGCATGGAAAAACAGAGTATTCGACAGGCCGGCTACCTCTTGAGCACCGACTGCTGAGGCCACAGGCGGCCAAAAAGTACTCTTCATAGAGCTATTTGAAGCTCGGGACGTAGTGCAGGGGTACCTGCTCTCGTACCCCTGTAGTAGAGTCGACCCTCGACTCTACTTTAAAGAGTCCTTTGTCCAGGATCTCTTTCTTGGCTTTGGGGGGAACAGGCGGCATGCTGCGACCGCCTGCAAGAAGAGGCGGATTCCTGTTCCACCTGTTGAAGCGCTTGTTCAGCTCTGTGTCTGAACTTTCAATGATAAGGAAGGTGCTTCGCCAATCCTTCCACTTGTTTGCTTTACCTCTTGTCATGAGGTAGCCTCTGTGGCTCGTCAATTGATACCAGTCGGTACCGCCTGCCTGAGGGGTCCGGCTGAGGTAATTCATGTGGGCGATAGCCTCGAAGTTTGGCTCCACCCCGTGCAGTTCGCACCCGGCCACATAGCCGAGTACGTTGACCTAGGACTTTGGGGCTAACTGCCATAACCCCAACTCATACCCATCCAAGATCCGCTGAACAGCCGGATGTAGTGGGAAGCGCAGCCCAGCCCTGATGGCCGCCTCGTAGCAGCCAAAGCAGGCGCCATAATAACTAGTACCAGCCGGCCAGACGACTGTGTCTTCTGGATCCGGCACGAAAACTAAAAAGCTAGGGCCCATTGTGTGGTTCGCAATAAAGCTCCCCACTCTCTCTTGCATGGCCGTGATCCGGCCCCGTGGGACAGTGCAGTAGTAGGGGGTATTTTGCTCTCGGTAAGAGGCGGATGGCTCCGCCCAATTGTCCCCCTTCTCAACTGCGTGAGAAAGCCTCGCCTCTTGTAGGCGGCAGTTTTTCTCTTCTGTGTCCAGAGAAGCATGACCAGAAGAGCTAGACTCGGATTCGTCCTCTGACGAGTCCGAAGAGGACGACTCCTCCCCTCTCCCAGAGGGGCCCGCCTTCGCTCCTTCAAAAGGAGCAGGAGAGAATGTAGACTTATCAACTGTAAAATTGGAAGGGGTCACTTTGACTCCTCCCTCAGAACTGTCGGCTTTCAAGCCGCTTTAGTTCACTTCCACATCTGGCGCCTGGTCAGATGTTTCACTAATCGGCACCCTGTGGGAGGAGCCGTCTGAGTTCGAAATCCTAGCAGTTCTTTTTGTTCTAGCCATCATGTTCTGCATAGACACAGAGACAGTCGGACTTTGTATAAAGGGCAAAGATGGGTCCGGAAAAGGGCAGGCGGCACTCCTAGTCCTAGATTCAGCCGTCCCCGGTGACCGGCTGATCACTAACCTAGGTCGTGTCGTGTGCTTCCGTGGTGCCATTTCAAAAAAGAATAAAATAAAGAGAAAATCAAGAGTAAGAGAACCGACGGTTACCTGAACGAGTGAAGTTGACGGAGTTCTGGAAATCCTGTGTAGTCGGCTTGTCAGAGCAGGCGGTAGGCAGAAAGGGTCCGAAATGTCAGAGCAAGTTTAGGGGTCCGAATGTTCTCTCTAAAAGTTCTCAAGTGTGAAAATGACTGAAGTCAACACACCCTTATATAGGCGAAGTGAGAAGGCGAAGGGTCACCTCCAAAATTCAAAATTTGGGCGGGAAAATCTCTCGGCCTTTCGCCGAGTGACACCTGTAGCAGGCCGTCGCCTGTCATGGTGCGACACCTGTCACAGGTAACACGTGACCAGTCACGTGCCACCTGTGAGGGGCAAATGATTAGGGGATTTTGCTCCCACCAATCGGAATGCGCCACGTGGGCCAATCAGGTCCTGCCAAGTGTCCTCCAGTTGGAACTGTCAGGGTTTGCCACGTGGCACACGCCTATTTGTCCACCCTGGACCTATTATGTCATGACACGTGGCATCCTCCATGCCTAATGGAAAACCCGGCCACCTAGGCCCAACTTCCAAGGGAAGCCCAATCAGCCCTCGGTTAACCTAAACCTAGGATTGACACGTTTCCCAAGGTTATAAATACCTCCCTTAATCCTCATTAAGGGGGATTACGCACATTTAACACTCTCACCTAGAGAGACCCTATCACTTTTATTTCCGCATTAATTACTCCTTAATCAAGTACTAACTTGACCGTCGGAGGCGGATCTCCAATCATCCGGAGCGTCCGTTTGTTTTGCAGGTACAGGCGTTCGGTTCCAGTCTCGGAATTGTAACTCTCCCGCAGGACATCAGAAAACCCCGAAACAAATTCCACGTTACGATTAGCTACAAATCAGGGAGAAATAAAGCCCCAAGAGTTGCTATCTACTCGGCACACAGGCTTTGATTGGACATCCACCAATACTAGATTGGTCGGGTGAGAGAGGCAAACCACCATGATCACCACCTTCCATGGACAACCGACCACCACACATACGCACACACGTGAGGAAGAGGGGGGGAGAGAGAGAGGGAGAGAGAGAGGGAGAGAGAGGGAGAGAGAGAGGGAGAGAGAGAGAGAGAGAGAGAGAGAGAGGGAGGGTAAGCTATGTTTCGTGTTTGCTAATCAGGGTTTATTGAATAATCAACAACCTTAATTCTAACTCTAGGCACCCAATCTATTTATAATCATATTAGAACTAGATTAGGAGTAAACCCAAAACCCCTAAAACTTCTCCTCTTTATGGCCAACCACCTAGAGGGAGGGCCCATTATAGGCCTTTCCTCTTATATTTAATCTAGGCCTCATAATGTGACCTTATAGGATTCGTTCTACTGGGCTTTGGCCTATTTCACTACTCCAAAGATCGTTATTAATACCTCTAGTTATAATATAACGATTACCCAAAATAACAAACTTAATTATCTCCATAATTCGATCAATTATAAAGTTAGTAATTGCACTTGACGAAGACATATTTCCTTCATTATATGCCTTTTATGGAGTATTTCGTATGTGATAAGACTGTACATTCAAATCATCAAGTTTATCTTAAAATCTTATGAACAATTCAGTGCATCGTTTGGGATCAAATCTAGTTAAATGGTAAATTAATTTCATAGTTGTATTATGAGATATTTTACAGGGATAGATGATGAATTGATGATTCATCAAGCTTAAACCATGATAGGAGCATGTAATCATACTATTTTATTTCTTATTACCGGCCCATGTTTCTAGATATGTGTACAATCAGTTACCTCCTTTATCCACCTGACAACCATCCACACTCACCCTTAGGTAACATATGTTTCTAGGTATTATGTAAATACCTCTTATACCACATTCCAAAAGTATGATTTTATTACTATTTACAAGCACCTAAATTACACTTTATTCTCTAACACATATAGTTGCTTTGACCATCAAAATGGGTTTTCTTGGACAAATCCTAAGAGTAATTAATACATATTCACTAAGATATGATCAAAGATACACACCAACCCCTGAACACAAGTTCATAATACATGCTCGAAACACTAAGATTGATTTTGAATTTGGATTTAACGTTTAACTTCAAATCGGGTCATACTTGGATCAAATCCAAATATAATACAGTGGAGACCTGGGAGAGTAAAATATAATAGCCTCAAGTGGACCGTGAGCAGGGAAATAATACGACCGTTGCTCTCACCAAAGCCCTCCGTCTTCTTTTCTGAAACATTCAAATTTCAAAACTTCACAAAGTCACATTGTCTGAAAGAAAGCCTGCCATATTTCTCGCAATTTCTCGGCTTCAAATTAAACCCACGCTCCCCAATTTCATTGATATCAGAGCTTCATTATTCATTCAACTTTCCAATCAATTATATAATCTCATCTTTGTTTCTTTAAATCCTCCAAAACCCACCATTAATTTCCTCCCAAAAATTGGAAAACCAAGTATTTCTGCTTGAACAATGAAAGAAGAAATCGAAAAACCCAGAAAATTGAAGTTTTCTAATGAAAATCAGCCACCAAAGAATATAAAATCAGGTAATAATTCATCTTCCAAGTTGAAATCGGCTTCTTCATGGGGTTCTCATATTGTAAAGGGTTTAGGAGGAGAGAGAAAAAGTAAGCTTCAGGCAACAACAATGGCAGCAGCAGCCAAAGTATCTGGCTTATCTGAATTGAAAAGCAACAATCTAGGTGGGAATCGACCCGTTTCGAGTAAGGTAAAGAATAGGGGTTTAATCAGTGATTTATCTTGCTCTGTTGCAGCAACTCAAGTTCATCCTCATGCTTTACAGAACAGCATTAATAGTAGTAAGCTTACGGTATCGTCGTCGCAAGATTTGTTTGTTGAGATTGAGAATTTGAGGATCCTTTTGAAAGACTCGAAGCAAAGGGAGTTTCAATTGCAATCTGAGTTGTCAGAATGTAGGAAAAATCAGAAGGTTTTGGAGTTAGAAAAGGAAGTTGAAGGTAAGAAGAATGAGGTTGAGAGCCTGACTAGGAAAATTAAACTGTTAGAATCTGATTTTAAGAATGGAATTGATGGGAGACAAGATTGTGAGAATGAGGGTTTCATTGAAAAATCGAAAAAGCCGAAAAATGTTGAAATGGAAGTGGTTCAACTCCGGCGCCTTAACAAGGAGTTGCAGCTTCAGAAGAGAAATCTTTCCAGTAGAGTAGCTTCTCTGGAATCTCAGCTGTCAAATTGTGCAAAAAGTTCTGAGGTAAATTTTTAATTTTCTCAAGTATTGTAAATTTCTCTGGTTGATCTTGATAAATGTTGTTTTAATTATGTTGTTTGTATACAATCTGGAAGTGGCTGCTTTCTGTTTTAATACTCCATTCATGTAATTGTACAAGTGCTGGGCCATAAGCAAGTGTCTTGCACCCGAGCTCGTGTTAGAGTGTTGAGTATCCAACATGGATAGTTGAGGTTAAACGGAGATTCATGAGTAATATATGACTCCATTCTTGCACGGTGTCAACCTTTTCTATAGTAAAATCGAGCAACGAGTCAAGACTTATAAGATAAGCTCATGGTTAATAATATGACTAGAATCTAGAAAGGTGATGTTTCTGATATTACTAATTATGATAGCTGATGATAGAGCCAAACATGGCTAATCGCTTGGTCAAACTTGATAAGTTGATGCTGAATTAAGTGTTTGCTGTGCGGCTAGAAGGTTTAGTATGTATGTAGGTAATATAGTTTATTAACTTAGTGTTATCTGCTAATTTCAAAACACAAAAGGTTTAGTATGGCTTTATGCTCCATTCTGTTAAAATTATTTCGACAATTATGTACTGAACTTAAATGTTTGAATATGTAGAGTGAAGTCATGGGGAAAGTAAAAGCAGAGGCATCATTATTAAAGCGTACAAATGAAGATTTGTCAAAACAAGTAGAGGGGTTGCAGATGAATAGATTGAATGAGGTTGAAGAGCTTGCTTACTTAAGGTGGGTTAATGCTCAATTACGCAATGAACTTCAAAACCCGTGTTTGTGTGGTGCTGCTGATGTGGAATCGAGCACTCAGTTCGAAGAAAATACTCCACCAGCTAGATATCCTGTAGAATGCAGCAGTGCTAGGAGATTGAGTGTTTTAAAGAAGCTTAATAAATGGCCTGTAACTAATGAAAATCTATCAAGTCAAGATTGCTCGATCGATTCGATAATTGAAAAAAGGTGGGAGGGACACATTGAAGATAATAGTTTAGGAAGAAGACACTCCATAAGTGGATCAAAATGTTGTGATGAGGACTTAATGATGAATAGAAGAAGACAATCAGATGGGTTTATGTGCTTAAAAGAAGTGGAATGTAAGGGAGATTCAGATGATTCACTAGATTATCAAAAGTTAGAAGCTATTAGTGTTTTTGCTCCAACAGAAGTTGAGAAGAGGGCATTAAGGATTCCAAACCCCCCTCCAAGACCTTCTGCAAAGCCCAATGAAGCAAAAGAAGTCAGTGATGGTCAAAGTCCTGTGGCACCCCCACCCCCACCTCCACCTCCTCCTCCTCCTCCCCCACCTTGTCAAAGGTTTTCCGCAGGAAGTAATGTTGGAGCTGTGCAACGTGCACCACAAGTTGTAGAGTTTTATCATTCATTGATGAAGAGAGACTCACGAAGAGATTCGTTGGGAGGAGCAGTATCTGATTCTCCTAATTTATCAAGTGTTCGTAGCAACATGATAGGAGAAATCGAGAATCGATCTTCATATTTGCTTGCTGTGAGTTCTCTATATTTATATTTCTTTCGTCTCTTATGATTTAACATTTTACTTACTAAAGAGCTAGAGTTCTGTTTTAGTAAGTGCTTTGATCATTATTGGCTTTAATGATTATAATGGTATTGTTTATATTCTGTATAGATTAAGGCAGATGTTGAGACTCAAGGGGAATTTGTTAATTCATTGATTCGAGAAGTTAATAGTGCGGTGTACCGAAATATAGACGACGTGGTGGCATTCGTCAAGTGGCTGGATGATGAACTGTGCTTCCTTGTGAGTAAAGTGTTTATAGTACTTCATTTCTTAATCCCTTTTATAATTGCTGAAAGTATTAGTTTCATGTCTGATGATGACCTTACTGTTGTCATACAAACTTCATAAGTTTTGTAATTATTTTGAAGTGAAAACAGAAAATTTATGAATCTGGATGTCTCTTGTGGTTTTATTATTTGTAAGGTGGATGAAAGGGCAGTCTTGAAGCACTTTGATTGGCCAGAAAAGAAGGCTGACACCTTGCGAGAAGCTGCATTTGGCTACAAAGATCTTAAGAAATTGGAGTGGGAAGTCACTTATTATCATGATGATTCTCGATTACCCTGTGACATAGCCCTCAGAAAAATGGTTTCATTGTCTGAGAAGTAAGGACAGATTATTCTTCAGACATTGCATTTTCATATGATAAAATTTTCTACTCTAGTTGATTTTATCTCAAGGATTTCTTGATACTTGATTTCAGGATTGAACGTACTATATACAATGTACTTCGAACAAGGGAGTCGTTGATCAGAAATTGTAAAGAATTTCAAATTCCTACAGATTGGATGCTAGATAGTGGTATCATTAGCAAGGTGTGTTTGTGTTTATGCTTATACTGCAATATTTTCCTGTGCTCATTATAATCACACTGGTTACATAATTTTTGTCAGAAGTGCTTTCTCATATGATCATTGGGGAGGAACATGGGTGTAGTCATGTAGAAACAGTTAAAATCTCCTTCCTATTTTCTAACAAAACATGGCATAATGAGCAAGTGAAAATTTCTCAATGACAACTTTGCACAACGATTGCCACCAAACCAATGCCTTCATTAGTTTTGCTGGTTCTCTAAAGAATAAATAAAATGCCATCCTTAATTAATTGTTGATATAACCATAAGAATTGTTTGTGAATCAAGCTTTGCAAGAAATAAATAAAAACTTGTCATCCTAGCATGCTAATAGTGCCATAGTGGCAATGTGGCATAGCAATTGAGGTGTTTTAATTCTCTTGCTTTTAATCTTAGCTCATTCATTTTTTAAGGTCCAGAGTCTTTCCTTGGTCATAGTGCTGGACTATCTTCTTGTGATACAGGCAAGAGGAGGCGTCTTGACATCTTTATTGGTACTCTGATCTTCGACTATGAGGAAGAGGTACTTAGGACAGAGTCGTAAATATTGGTATTTTATGGCAATTCATAACTCATATCTTAAAACATTAATTCAGCTGACAATTTTCTTTCTTGCTGTCTTTTGTCTTTATAGAGAGAACATAAAGTATTGGCTGAAATAACTCATAATGGTAACTAATAAAGTTACTATAGAGCACTTCTGTTCAGAAATAAACCTAAAACAATTATATATTTGCAACCAAATGGAGGACAATATAAAAATCCATGCCTCTTGTCCTACGTGTGGAGACTGATATCCAGAGAGATATAGATGGCATTGTACTTTGAAGCTAACTTCCCTGTTTTTTTTGTTGGTTTATTCCACGTTTACTGTTGTTAGTAGCTGAATATTTGGAGTTTTAACTTTCAAGTCCCGCTACCCTTTCCCTAAAGTCCCTGCTCTCTCTTGTCGCATACTGTTAATAACAATAGGACCAGATGATTTCCTGTTTTGATCATTTTAGATTTTTAACTTAAGTAGTTTCCCATTTTCAATTTAATAACGAAATCTGAATACTATACCTGCTACTAATTGATTATGTGTCTGCTATTTAGTACCAGGTCATACATAGTGCATGGATTCTTGTTAGGTCTGATAGTTTGTAGTCCATTTGTCACAAAAAGAATAGATTACAAGATTTTAGATGCTTTCTTCTGTAATATGTAAATACGGAGTACCTTGGAAATGACTGTCTCAATTATTTGTTATAGCTGGGGTTCTGGGAGTTGTTGTAGACAAGGATGTACTGAAACATTTTCCATTACCTCTTATTATCTATAACTAGTCTAGATGTATACTTCAAAAGGGGCATTTGCTTCAAATGCAAAGAAAATAGGAGAGAGTAACGAACTGCCACTAAAGTTTCACCGTTTTAATATTAAAGACATTTTGATGAATTTGCTAGTTGTTGCTGCTTCCCGTTGTTTAGCCTTCTTATTCCCTTGCTGTTTGCCTGTTTGGGGTTGCTTCATCACACTATCTAAATAGTTGTTTCTTTGCTATGCATTCAAACACCCCAGTTGCATAAATTAATATCATTTAGCAAACTTAACTGACTGCAGTAGGTAAGAACCTCAACTTAACTGTCACAACATCAAATCTGCATTCTAATATACATCAGAACTAGCTAACATAAATTCACCAATAAGGGAAGTAATTAACGTTACAACATCTGCAAACAAATTTAAATAATATTTCTCTAACAACTTTCTCTGATGCAGTTGATATTTATTTATTCTAGGCCTAAAAGAAAGTTGTTGCTCCATACATTAGATGAAACATTTTTTGGAATTTAGGTCTGTAAGCAGGTTCTACTGTAGTTAAACTCAGCAGAACAATTTTATAAGTGGATACTAAATTGGTAAAAAGGTACAGTAGCTAATAAAATTTTTGTTGACTAAAAAAAATTGGGTTTACATGATAACTCAATCAATTTGAACTGTGTTCAATTAAGTTATTTGCCTCTATTTCAGTTGATGCCCAATTGAATCTCGACTATCAAATTTGTAGTCTGCTTCAGTGCTTCCCATATTTCTTAAGAAGACCTTGTATTTTTAAGCTTATATTTTGTTTATCGAATGTAATAATATTTCAAGGTAGGGCTGATTATCATCTTGCTTCATTATATTGTGCAGGTAAAGCTTGGGTCTGTAAAGTTAGCAAAGAAATACATGAATAGAGTGGCTACTGAACTCCAATCGCGATCATCACTTGAAAAAGATGTTGCTATGGACTACATGCTTCTTCAAGGAGTGAGGTTTGCTTTTAGAATTCATCAGGTTAGTCATAAAATCGCACAGATAATTGGTCTTACGAGCTAATTAAGATTCCTCAGCAGAATATGATGTAGATATTTGTTCTATCCATCCGATTCTCATTCTGTTAGAAATGTACTTGTATATGCTTTGTAACTTTTCCTTTCTCCCACGCCAATTACAGTTTGCTGGAGGATTTGATGCGGAAACCATGCAAGCATTTGAGCAACTCCGGAAACTTGCTAATGCATAGCGTTGAGTTAGCATATAGATTGCCCACATTACAGATTTTGTATCTTTCTATAATCATATTATTGTACATTTTTAGGATATGACGATTGAAATTTTGTTTAAAGGGGAAGGGAAGACGAGGTTGGAGCCTTGGAGGTCATGGGAAGATGATTTTGTAAGGTATCTCAGTGAGCTTCTGCGTAGAGCACAAAGTAATGAATGTACTCAAGGGATCTTAACCTCCTTTTTTGTATGTAAACTTAACGTGACATTTCCTGTAATACTGTAATCCAGAAGATGCTATTTCTAATGATATACAAACACTTTGTAATTGTGTTAAACTTGTCTTTTAACCACTGCGATGCATGCAGCATGCTCCCATCACATCTAATATATTGCACCAATTGCTTAAAACACACACACAAAATGAATTTTCCCATGCATTTCAACATACGAAGTTTATATTAAAATATACAGTATATAACTATATACTAATATGTAGTCGTGATCAAATGTATACTTCATTCTTGACTACTCCCTTTGTTTATATTGATTGGGCACGCATGATAGTGCAAAACTTCTTCAATAAAATCATTTGTCTTATAAGTATAAATTATAAAAAGGTGATGTTTGAAATATATACATTGAGACGATTCGAACAAGTATTTACATGTACATTTTTTCTTATGTATAAATCACTAACATTGATAAAAAAAAATAATAATAAAAAAACACAACTACTAAATGCAGTATAAATTACCTAAATGCAGAATTTATAAATGACACTTAAATATGCTAAAGACTGTATTACCCCAACTTAATTTCATTCTTTATTATTACGAAGCCACTTATCATATCTTATTATCCAATCTTCTCTTTATGGTACACTCAGGAACACTTGAATAATGCATTTAATTTTATTATCATATATAATAAAACTGAAATTCAATCACTAAAGAATGAAAGGCCCTTGAAAATACAGCCGGTAGGCAGCTAAGGGCCCCGGAAAATACATCTGGTAGGTAGCTAAGGGCCCCGGAAATCATAGCCGGTAATTTGATAAAGGTAGCGGAAATCATAGACAATCATAAGACGAAGGTCGCGGAAATGTTTTACAAGGGTCTGGGAAAGGTTTATCTACGGCGTTGGTACTGGGAATTCAAAACGATAAGGTTAAGAGAAGGTTCGAGCGTCATAATTGTCAACGAATGTTCCCGTAAATCTCCTGAAAATCTGTGTATCCCAAAATGTGACACAATTAAATTAGTTACCAAAATCGTCAAAATAAAGTTCATCATCGTTTGTCAAACCTTACAATGTTCAAATAGAATGAATGGTTGAAGATTTTGAGATACACGATATGTATACAAGTATAATGTTAGGGGTGATTGATTTGATGGGAACACAGGAGATTTGAAACAAGGATAAAATGGGATATCTAAAATTTGTTAAAAATTAAGTTATCCTACATTTAGGTAAAATCATATCTGCATTTAGTACCTCCCAAAAAAAAAATTTTGTGAATAGTTGAAAAACACTTAAATAAAAACGGAGGATTATGCTTCCTGGGTATATAACGAATTTCAACGCTGGTTTATCAAGAATACGCAAGAACAAGCAGAAAGGCAAACAGAAAGGCAACGTTGAATAGGGTATGCTAGAACAAGCAGAAAGGCAAACACAAAAAAAAAAAAGCCAAACAAAGAGTAGGCAACAACAGAGAGTCGGACAACAGGATACCTGGGCTACAGACTCGAGAAGACACTCAAAAGCAAAGTTAATAACCAAAGTCAAATAGCGTGACACACACAAGCTAGAAAGTAAACCAACAATTATAAGCATATACTCATTATTATGCAAGAATGAGTCTAAAAAAACCCGTGCTACATATAGGACACATAACAATATAACATAGCATAATTCTACACATTGAAGAATCACATAGCATAAAAAAATTTCTACACATTAAAGAACCATGAGAGCAAAAGCATGTAGCATATTAAGGGTTATGGAACTTTTGCCTTACACAAAATCGAGGTCTTGGATGCTGAATGGTGTCACCTTTACAAAAATCACAGCGGCAGGAATTACCTGCAAACCAAAATATCAAAAGAAATACATTAAAAAGGTAAAGATTAATTTCTACCGACTTTCCTTTTTCTAAAAAAAGAGAATTAGAATCCTAAAGTATGCTTGTTTGTCCAAAATCTCATTTTGTTCATATGTTAACTTTTGCCTGACAACTATAAAACTAGCACAAACTAATATTCTACACGCACAACTAGAGAAGCTAATAAACTTGGAAATCATTATACTTTCACAATCTAAAAAACAAACCCATCAACACAAATTGACACAAACTTACTAGCAGAGAGCAGAATCAACATTGTAGCAATCAAATTGCTAGGGAATTGTCGAGACACAAAAAATACATAATAAAATAAGACCTAAGAATCTAAGATGCACCTGAGGGAAGATAAGCAAGTTTGAGGGAATGATTAAATCATCCAAGTGTTAGGGGATTTTCTAGTAATCAAGGGTCACAAAGAAATGCAAATGAAATTAACGGGAAAAATCTTTGAGGCGTGAACGAGATCACTTTTCCAAAAGTATAATTCCGATCCTATACTACAATCGGGTATCACAGAAATTACTAAGGAGATACAACGAAGAACAATTACTATCACTTAAAGGATGATAGCAATTCAATATAAATAAGCTTTTGTAATCTGTGATATGAAAACTTGAAGAACAATTGCAAACAAGAGAATGAAAAAGTAGTAGTTAATCTGATTTTTCATTCATCCACTTTAATCATATACATAGAGTATATATCTAGAGCAAGACAAAGCCGAAAGTAACCATCAATAACCGAGCAACCTTGAACCTAGAAAACACCCGGGCCCGATCGGGCTAACAAGCGATCGATCCGGCGAGAGAAACTCAGCGAAGATGGTAGCATGTGGGCCTAATCAAGCGGAGACTGCTCGATTGAGGGACTGCACTGATTTTTCCCACCTTGCACACGCACCCGATCAGGTGGTGTTAGCTCGACCAGGCGGCAAAGCAACGATGTTCTAGCGTGCTTGCGTGCTTGATCGGGCCAACACAACCTTGATCGGGCTAGGCTACTATAATACCCTGTAAATTTCCTTCTTTTAAAAATACTCTAAATAAAACCCTTTTTAGGATATAACCAAAATATTACCGCCACTGTGATAACGGCTAAGGCTAATTTTCAAAGTCACATAGCGGATGTCTATAAAAAAAAAACCAACTTTTAACATAAAACTTGAGTTCATAACCTCAAAATAAAAGTAGAATAAAACATTCACAAGGTGGAACCAATTCAAACAAGGCCCTTCTTTAAACCAATTAAAAATAAACACAATAATGTTAGTCCATAAAGAAATTAATAATTCAAAAGTATTAAAACTAAGAAACATAACAAGTAACTCTCTGCACTCTATCCCATCATGCTCTTCATGCTTCAAGTACCTGTTACTTCCTCTTTACTCAACCCTCTACTCACCATATAAATGGGTCATAGTAGGGCCAATCCAAAAGAAAGCCAAACAAAAACACAAAAGTACGAATCAACAAAGCAGAGTACATATGCACCACACTAACATGAATATCCTATCATCAAAATAAAATAATAATTAAAACATGCTCGCCATACAATCACAAGTCAGTTTACCTTTGACTCATAACTAGCAATATTAATTATTAATAATAATTTTGGATTACGCATCGAACGAGTTTCGTTCCTTGAAAATAGCACATTTAAATATTGAGCTTCCAATCAGGGAGCTACCCCAATAGGCACCTACTATATCACACTTGTGACGGAATTCCAGCGCATTAATAATAATAAAAGAAAGTACAGTGTCCTGTACCCCTGTAGAAGCTATGGTTAAATATAAAACCCCATAACTCCCCCTGTTTCGGGGTTTTCTGATGTGTCCTGCGGGAGAGTTACAATTCCAAGAATGCCCTTCTACCGCCTGTACCTGCAAAACCACGAAGACTCCGGTTGGGTGGAGCTCCGCCTCCGACGATCAAGTCAGTGATGTACGGGAGGAAGAAAGTGCGTAAAAGGGTAATTACTTCTCGCGTAATGGGAGATCCAATATCCCATTAATGATTGCTCGGGCTTGGTGTAAAATGTATTTATGATTGTATTCAATATCCCATTAATGAAGATTCTCCCACTATTTATAGTGGAGAGCATTGGTTCCCCATTTAGGGTTCCTAGGACACGTGTCAGCAGGGGATTGGAGCCCTGCTGACCAATGGCAAGGTGCCACGTGTCACTTAGCCATTGGGCCACGCGGCTGGGGTAATTTTACCCCAAACATTTGCCCCTCTCAGGTGCTGACGTGGCAGGGTGCCACGTGGCACCTGAGAAGAGAGCTGACGAAAAATAATTTTTTTTTTTTTTTTTTAAACCCCTTCAAATTCTAACTGAAGGAAGAAGGAAAAGCAGAAGGAGAAAGGTCGCGTCCCTTCGCCTTCCGAAACAACCCCTATAAATAGGGGAGGAAGCACACGAGAGCTCATTTACAAACTTTGTGAAATTTCTTGAATTTTGAGAGCATCCGACACTTCAGAGCATCTGGTACTTGAAATTCCGAGCACACGGAGACTTCATAGTTTTAAGAGCAGCCGATATTCAAACCGCCTGTGCAGTAGCAAGCAAGCAAAAGATTTTTGAGAGGGTACCTCAGAGAACCCAGCCGGTATTCAAACCGCCTGTGTCTTCGCAAGCATCCCCAAGAAATTTCTTGAGGTTTTCAACACTTTACTCTAGGTACCGTCTCTATTCTTTCTTGCTTTTCCATGTATTTTCGTTTGCGTCTTTTGCTTGCATTTTTGTTTATAAGTCCCCTAGGTAGATGGACCCTTTATACCCATACCCGGACCATAGTTGCGAACTCAGCCGGTCAATTAGTACGGCTGAGTCTAGAACTGGATCTGCTGCCTCTGATCTTTGGAATTTCCCCTTTTCAACGCCTGTATCGACCGACTCCGTGTCTGTGCAGGACACCATGGCCAGAATTAGGGGAACAACTATGGACCCCAATTACAGAGGCGGGGACTCGAACGAGTTATCGCCTGAAACTCGAGGCCCAGACGGGGAGGTTAGAGAACCATCCGGCGGTACCCCCGCCACCCCAAGAGATATCATCCTAGGCTCCTACAACGAGGAGACCTCTCTGGCTGAGGAGGCTGAGCAGCCAAAAGCTGCCAATGACGCTCCCAACTCCCCATCCGGCTCTGATGACGGTCGGGTTGAAAGCAGTAGCTCCAGCTACCTAACCGTATCAGAAGATAGCGAGGAGGCGGAGAGGCCTTCGTGGCAAAGCAG